ACTGTTATATAAACAACAATAAAAATGAGTTTATATATATATATATATATATATACACACACACACACATACATACATACATGTTTATATACAGATTGATTCTATGGCCATCCAAAATTCCTCTTTCTAGTCAAACTCCCCCTGTAACTTTGCCTCTTGGCAACCACTGATCCATTATCTGTCTTCACAATTTGGCCTTTTCCAGACTGTCATATAAATTCATACAGTATGCAGCCTTTTAAATCTGACTTCTTTAACTGAACATAATAATATTTGAGATTTTTATCCACATTATTGCATGTACCAATAATTTCTTGATCTTGCCTTATTACATTAACTAGGACCTCCAATGTGATGTTGAACAGTAGTATGAGAGAACATCATTGTTTTTCTTCCCCAGTGTTGGGGGAAAGTATTCAGTAATCCATTACTAAGTTTGAGATTGTTGTTTAGTTGTTCAATCATGTCTGACTCTTATGCTACCCCATGGACTATAGTCTGCCAGGCTCCTATATTCATGGGATTTCCCAGGCAAGTATACTGGAGTGGGTGGCCATTTCCTTCCCCAGGGGATCTTCCCGACCCAGGGATGGAGCCCATGTCTCCTGCATTGGCAGGCAGATTCTTTACCACTGAGCCACAAGGGAAACCCAAATATGAGGTTACCCATATGTATTTTTGTACATACCCTTTATCAGTTTGATGAAGTTTCCTACTCCTAGCTTGCTGAAAGTTGTATAACTGTTATTTTAAATCATGTATGGATATTAAATTTTATAATTTTTTTCACATTTATTATAAATATTATGTTTTTCTCTGTTAGAAGTATCTGCTATATGGTGAGTAATACTGATTTTTGAATATTGAACTAGCTTTAAATTTCCAGGATAAACCCCACTTAGTCATAATGTATAATCTTTTTTATATACTGTTGGACTCAATTCTCTAACATTTTGATGATGATTTTAGCATCTTCATGAGAGATATTAATTTTTAGCTTTATTTATAATATTTTGTCTGCTTTGGTATTGAGGTAAAATGACTTGAGTTCTTTCTTCTATTTTCTGGAAGAGTTCATGTAGCCTTGGCATTACTTCTTTCCTAAATGTTTAGTAAAAAGAACTGAAATCATTTATAATAAACACAGGATTATTCAGGTTATCTATTTAATTTTAAATGAGCTTTTTGATAGTTATTTTTCAGGAAATTTGTTCATGTCATCTAAGTTACTGATGTACAAGCATAGATGTTTGAAATAACCCCTTTTCCTTTTAAGGTCTGTAGAATCAACAGTGATGTTCTTTCTTTCATTTCTGATATTAGTCATTTTTTTGTCTTCTCTTTTTTCCCCCTTGCTTAGAGATTTATCAATTAAGTTGATCTTTTCAAAGTACCAGTATTTTGTATCATTGTCTCTACCTTTTTGCTTTTTCAGTTTTACACTTACCTTTATTTTCCACTTCATTCTGTTGGCTTTGGGGTTTGTTTCTCTTCTAGATTCTTAAGGCTTAGATCATTGAAACACTGAAATGTTTCTTCTCTTCTAATATAAACTTTTGATTCTATAATTTGAACATATAGCATGCTTTAGATTCATCCCACAGATTTTGATGTGTTGTATCATTTTCAATTAATTCAAATTGTTTTCTAATTTCCTTTGTGACTTTCTCTTTAACTTTAGAAGTTATAGTTTTTACTTGGCAAAATATACATGGATTTTCCAGATTATCTTCCTATGTATTCTAGCTTAATTCCATTATGGTCAGAGAACATAATTGGCATAATTTCAACCTTTTAAATTTCTTTAGGTTTGTTTTATAGTTCAGAAATAGTCTCCCTAGAATGCTGTATATACATTTGAACAGAATGCATATTATTTTGTTAGAGTCAACTAGTTCAAGTTGGTTGATAGTGTCTTCTATAACCTTACTGATTTTCTGTTTCTTGTACTCTGAATTACTGAGAATGTTGAATTCTCCAGCTATAATTGTGGATTCACCTATTAATTTTTGCTTCATATAATGTGAAATTCTGCTAGGTGCATACATTTTTAGAATCCTTATGACTTCCTAGAGATTGAATTCTTATGTAATATGCATGGGTAGGTTTTGAAGTGCATCATGACTTCCTTACCTACAGAGGTCATAAGCAAGGCCAGATTCTGAGTTTCATATTTTGGTCCCCATCATCAGAGGTTAATTTTTTCCCAAGTAAACTTAAAAATTTACTCAAATGACACCACCTGAGTTTAAGTTAGGTACTCAACTCAGGAACAGTCAACTGTGGCAAGGTGGCAGAGCATGGGAGAGTGTGGCATCTACCCTGTAAACTGCATGATTAGGATGAAAAAAAGGAGCAGTTCATAAGGGAAGGGATGCTGGGAAGATAGTACCAGAAGTGTCTGCCATGCTTCCTTCTAAATTATGGAAATGCTGAAGGTGTGACATTTGTTATATTGGTCATGTTCGTTTTACAGAATCTAGCAAAGTATCCATGAAGGAGGGTTTGGTCAAGGCCTTTGACTGCTTCTCCCTCTGTCCAAAGCTGTTTCATTCCCTTCTCCAACAGGTGTTAATGCTGCAAGCACTTCCACGTACACTTCCTGCACCCTGATCCGCATCTGAGTACTCCCCAGTAACCTGACTTGAGATACAATCTCTTTTAAGAATCTGATAAAACATATAGTTTGGTTCAGAAAAATATGGCTATATAAACATTCAACTTTATATAAATTTAGGATATTCACAGCACTCTGATTTTTACCATGAACTCTAAGAAAATGGTTTTGATCTCTCATTTTTAAGAAATTTAGTCCCAAAGGTATTTTATAACTTGCCTAAGATTATATGAAGGACATTGGTTATATGAAACAACAGATTGGGAAAGACTGGAGATATCTTCAAGAAAATTAGAGATACCAAGGGAACATTTCATGCAAAGATGGGCCCAATAAAGGACAGAAATGGTATGGACCTAACAGAAGCAGAAGATATTAAGAGGTGGCAAGAATACAAAGAAGAACTGTACAAAAAAGATCTTCACAACCCAGATAATCATGATGGTGTGATCACTCACCTAGAGTCAGACATCCTGGAATTTGAAGTCAAGTGGGCCTTAGAAAACATCATTATGAACAAAACTAATGGAGGTGATGGAATTCCAGTTGAGCTATTTCAAATCCTGAAAGATGATGCTGTGAAAATGTTGCAATCAATATGCCAGCAAATTTGGAAAACTCAGCAGTGGTCACAGGACTGGAAAAGGTCAGTTTTCATTCCAATCCCAAAGAAAGGCAATCCNATGGGAAATAAATGGGGAAACAGTGGAAACAGTGTCAGACTTTGGGCTCCAAAATCACTGCAGATGGTGACTGCAGCCATGAAATTAAAAGACACTTATTCCTTGGAAGGAAAGTTATGACCAACCTAGACAGCATATTAAAAAGTAGAGACATTACTTTGACAACAAAGGCTCATCTAGTCAAGGCTATGGTTTTTCCAGTGGTCATGTATGGATGTGGGAGTTGGACTATAAACAAAGCTGAGTGCCAAAGAATTGACACTTTTGAACTGTGGTGTTGGAGAAGACTCTTGAGAGTCCCTTGGACTGCAAAGAGATCCAACCAGTCCATCCTAAAGGAGATCAGTCCTGGGTGTTCATTGGAAGGACTGATGCTAAAGCTGAAACTCCAATACTTTGGCCACCTGATGCGAAGAGCTGACTCATTGGAAAAGGGATTGGGAGGGATTGGGGGCAGAAGGAGAAGGGGACGACAGAGGATGAGATGGCTGGATGGCATCACCAACTCAATGGACATGAGTTTGAGTAAATTCCGGGAGTTGGTGATGGACGGGGAGGCCTGGCGTGCTGCGATTCATGGGGTGGCAAAGAGTTGGACATGACTGAGTGACTGAACTGAACTGAAGATTATATGATAACTCAGTGGGAAAGCTAGAACTAAATTCTTATTTCTAGACACATGGTCAGTTACATTTTCCACCATCTTGAGAAATTTGGGGAATTTGCTTGTTTCTATATTTTAATTACTTGAATTAACAACTTAATAAGGATGGGAAACATATCATGTTACAGGTTCTATGCTTAATATTTACCCTTTATTATTTCATTCAGTTCTCAGAAGAAACTTTGGAAGTAGACACAATCATCCTCATTTTACAAATGGCAGAAATGAGGCTTTTTCAATGTAACTTTCCAGAGATAGTAAGAGAGCCAACATTTGGATCCAGTTGTCTTTCTTTAGAACCAATTCTCTTAACAGCAACACTACATACACATGCTGGAGATATTTTGTGTATGATACATTTTATCAATTTTTCCACATATTGCAAATCTACAAAATAGGAAGTCTGCACAAAATTTGAAAACCTGAGCTCACCCTAACGGTTGGAATTAACTCATTAACTTAGGAAATAGCATTTATTAAACACTTACTATGTGCCAGGGACCTCAATCAACAATGACCAAGGAAAAAACAGTCTCTGTGTGTAAGAAATTTAAAATCTAGCAGGGATAGATATTTAATTATTATAAGTGTAATTTTAGTGTAATTCATGCTAACTTTAATTTTTATATCAAATCATGGTTTAAAAGTAAAGTGCAGAATGCTATAAAGGCTTTTAACAGAGTGACCTAAAATAGAATTAGAGGGTTAAGGGACGCTTTCCCAAGAAGTAATATTCAGGCAGAGATCTAACAATGAGTACAGAAAGGTCTACTGAAATGAGATGGGAATGATGCATTTGGCAGATCAAATAGGGGATGGAAGACACAGGTCTCTATTTTAGTGAAAAATAACCTTGTACCAGGGTTCTGAGTGACTTAGATTACTCTTGCCTCCATATGTTCTATTTTGTGCAGGTTTTAACTTATTTGCACCACGTTTTTTACTGTGTTTGCTTTCTCCTTCAGTTCTATAAGTATTCTCCTTGATGAATGGAAATGAAATATTGTTAGTAATTCTCATTTTCTTTCTGGTACAGGCAGTCATTTCCGTGGAATGACTTGAAGAAAATGCTGAAAGCAGTCTTTACCCCACTCTCCACCAACTAACTCATCAACACACATGAGCTGTATAAAACCTCCCACTCAACCACTTCAGTCATTTTAATTATTACCCTCCATAGTCCTCATGGAAAGGCAAATCCTCCTAGAAATGAACATAAACGAAGCCCCTAAACCAGGCTGACTGATTTAATTACACTTTCTGCTTTCCTTATGACCCAGACGAACAGGTGTCAGTAAACTGTCCCTTACTTTTGAAAGGCTGTGAATCCTTGATGTAGTCCAAGTCTCAGAACCTAGTCCCCTCCCCTCCCCCCAACTATGACTGTGAATGCTGCACTTCTGTCTTTGATACTTTGCTGTGCCACTCAGAAAGATATAAAGCAGTGTTTACGCTATTGATAAGTATGTCCTTTACTTGCCTTGAAAAATACCCAGGCATTCCCACAGTAAGCCAAATGACCTTCAGATCTAAGAAGAATGGTTACTCTTCTTTTTTATATATTTATTTGTTTATAGTTTTTGGCTGTACTGGGTCTTTGTTGCTCCTCAGGATTTTTTCTAGTTGTGGCGAGCAGGGAGCTACTCTCTAGTTGCAGTGAGCCAGCTTCTCATTGTGGTGGCTTTCCTTGTGGCAGAGCACAGGCTTTATGGCCATGAGGCTTCAGCAGTTGTGGCACGAGGGCTCAGTAATTGTGGTTCCTAGGTTCTAGAGCAGTCAAAAGTTGTGGTGCACGGGTCTAGCCACTCTGTGCTATGTGGGATCTTTCTGGATCAGAGATCAAACTGTGTCTCCTACATTGGCAGGTGGATTCTTTACCACTGAGCCACCAGGGAAGCCTAAGAATGGCTACTCTTGAAACCACTCAGTTCAACACTTAGCTCCTAGGCCCACTTGATGAGAAAGGCCAGTTGTTTCTATTGATAATATTATGGTCTGAATTTAATATATGACCTGAGAAAATGGGAAAAGCATGACACATACAAGAATTAGGGAGAAAAATTATTCTGCAGAGATCACACAGTAGATCTTTCAATTACCAAAGGCCTCATTTTTCTCAACTGTAAAATAAGCTAATAGGGCCAGCTGGGTCTCAAAGATTTTCCAGGTTTGCCTGAGACGATTCTGATTTTAAAAGTGAATGTCTCATCTCCTGGAGACTTTCTCGGTCCCTGGTGATTTAAGGTAGTCAGTCACCCAGGTTTCTCCTCTGGTAAGTCTTAACTCATCACTTGATACAAATGTTTTTAAATTCACTCGGTTTAAAAGGTAACAATCTCAACTTTATGACGTTTAATTTCCACAGAAATGTAAATATTTTTGTCTTATTTCTCCCCAGGTGTCTCAGTGGTAAAGAATATAATTGCAGGTGCAGGAGATGCAGGAGACATGATCCCTGGGTTGGGAAGATCCCCTAGAGAAGGAAATGGCAACCCACTCCAGTATTCTTACCTGGAAAATCCCATGGACAAAGGAGCCTGACAGGCTACAGTCCATGGGGTCACAAAGAGTCGGATAGGACTGCAGATGAGCATGAGGCCTATTGTTTATTTAGGTAATTTAGGTAAACTGGTGCTGATAGAGTCGAAAGCTGATAGAGGGTTATTTTTGTTTGTTGCCTTTTGAAATTCTTGGCTATACCACGTTGCTTGTTTTTATTGACCCTGGTATAAAATCTTTCAAAAGTGGCAGAGCACAACATGATGTCATCTGTGATCTGCTCAAGAGCTATTGTCCCAGCATCACTTATCTGACAGGGCAAAACACTTCACAAAATCTGCAATTAAGGTACAGGTATTTGAAACTGCTATAAAAATTATCAGCTGTTATTTGATATTAAAATGAATGTAATTATTTCTGTAGCTCTTCCAAATTTATTCCATTTGTATTCTCTGCTTAGGAAGGAAGCAATGACCTAATCCTTAGCCACTATTCTGAAATCAGTCAGTGTCTAAAACCTTTGTATTCTTCACAAAAGAAAGAAATCAGATGATCTTTGCTCTGACCTTTGACTTGATATTTACAAAACCTAATTATGGGATGGGCCAACTCTCCTTTATCATTCAGAGACATTTGGTTAAGGTCCTAATCTTTAAATTAAAAAAAAAAATCTTTCAGGAGACTGTTTAGGGCTGTATACATTATGATGAAATCTAGAAAGGGATTGTTAATTTAGAATTTTGGCCATCGAATTGATTTTCTCAAAACCAATCAAGTAGAACATGGGAGGTGATATAAGTTAGTCATTAACATCAGTGTTTCAACTAACTATATTAAGTAATCAGTCATCTGGTGGTCTTGTGGTTAGAGGTCAGAGAGATACACAGTCTGACAGCTTCAGCATTAACACCTCTGCAGTTTCCACCACCACACCCTCTGCTACTGCACCAGCAAGAAAAGAACTGCAGGCAACTGTGCGCTACTTAAAGTGTAAAGGGTACTTGCCTAATAAACATTGGTCCTAAGACTCAGTGCAGTCATATATCCTCATAGTGAACATATCTCACTTATTTACCCTTAATATAGACTTTATGCTTATAAATAGAGGTTTTAAAAGGTTAAGATTTCAAAAGAGGGGGAAAAAAAGCATTGGCAATTAAAACAATAATGGAGGCACACAGCATTTCTCTTCCTTCCCAAGGTTTCCTCTAGCAATCTTTTTCTCTGGGTGAAAGTAGAGGTCTGATTCCTTTTGTTCAATCCAGCCACCGCCCTTTAGCAATCTCTGTCTGAGCAAGACTGCCACGCCCAATCATGGGACAAAGGCAGAAATAAGGGAACTCTGGAGACAGAGACAGCCCGACTTTGTTTATAGATGTGTAATATATTGGTCTCAGTGACATGAAGGTGCGAATCAGTTGCTATCTCTACAAAGTGACAATTAAAACAGGGCACTTAAATATATGTCTGTTCTAAAATGCTATCTGATAAAAGTATTCTTTTCCTAGAAAGAAAGGGATGTGGCCAGGGTTCTCTGACTTTCAGAAAAAGGGTGAATGCTGCCCCCTTTTGACTGTTAAGAGCTATAGATACCATGCAGCCTTAAACTGGAATCAAACCCAATGAATGGACTGTGAGAATAAAGACACTATTTCTGTAATGAGAAAACTGATTAAATCTTGGAAACTGGAAATCAGAATGGGATTCACAGTTTATCTGGTAAAACTCATAATGAGACTTTACTAGCTTCCTGGAAGATTGGTTACCCTTCACTCAGCCTCCTACATCATTACATCACTCCAAATTTTGTTGTGACGAGACAAAAACCGAGGAGCATACACTCGCCTGACAATTATAATTGTGCCTCTTTTATAGGCTCTTAATTCTGCCTGTATTAATCATTTGAGTTCATTGTTCTATTTCTCCCACTAGTGATAGACTTCTTGAGATCCCTGGGCCATGTCTTTTTTTTGCTTATGTAATTGTCACAGCACCTACAAAGACATGTAATGGCTGTTCAAAAAATATGTTTATTGAAAGCAAATGGCTGGCTGAGGTCAAGATCATAGTCTAGTTATGAATAGTTCTTTCAGAGCAAAGTTAATGAGTCTACTTGGGGTTTAAACTCAGGATATTCACAGAAGTTGTGTCATACTTTAACCCAAGAATTCTAAACTTTTTGAGCACACATCCCCAATAAATGTTACGCTTATAGATTATATGGGTCTAATACTGGACTATTTCACATCAAAATACATAAAAAATAAAAGATGAAAAAGTTGGTCACACTCCACATAGACATAACATCAAGTAAAACAAACAAGACACACAAAAAAGTGTATATTGTATCATTTCATTGACATAAAACTCAAAAAACAGACATAACTAATGTATAGCATTAGGAGTCAGGCTAGTGATTACCTCTGGAGGAATACTTATTAGAGGAAAGAATGTGACTAAGTTCTAAGATGATATTAAAATTTTATTTCTTGATCTTGATGCTAGCTGTATGGATGTTTCAGTTTGTGAAAATAAGTATATAAGCTATATACGTATGATATGTGCACATATCTGTACATATTGTGTGTGTTAATAACTCAGTCACATCCGACTCTTTGTGACCCCATGAACTGTAGCCTGCCAGACTCTGTCCAAGGAATTCTCTAGGCAAGAATACTAGAGTGGGTTGCCATTTCCTTCTCCAGGGGATCTTCCCAACCAGGAATTGAACCTGGGTCTCTTGCATTGCAGGCAAATTCTTTAACATCTGAGCTACCGGATTATATCTCATTTAAAAAGATTTTTAAACAATATTTTCTCAAACTCCAGGAGACTGACCTGCATATATCCTAGGATACATGCTATTTGGTATACCTCTGCTCTAATTAACAAAGCCAATCAAACTTTTTCAGTTCCTGATCAGACAGAAAGACATCTCCAACGTATGGAAAGTCTCTAGCTAGAATGCCTCTGCATCAGTTTCCAGTTGCTACAGCAACTACAGGGCACCTATCCTCCTTGAGAAAGAATTTGTTCATCTTCCAACCCTCTCAGGTCTGTAAAATATTATTGCTCACCTAAGAAAGTCATTTCATGCATGTGAGCCTATCTTCTGGGGTGAAGGCAGACACTTTCATAATGAAGAACCTCATGTTTGCCTCCCACAGCCTCAGATTTCCCATCTGTAAAATGGGAATAGGCTTCAGAGCTTTGAGGAGAGGATTTACTACATTAAAACGAGAAGAGGACAGGACTTGGCAACTTATTGGTCCTTTAATAAATTTATTTAGGAAATATCCTAATATTAGGAAAAATGTCCTGCTCTATAAATCAGAGACCCATATCCTAGACCAGGTTTTAGCAGTCATTTTATGAAATCTCAAGTATTAAGTATATCATTAAATATCTCAAGGCCAAATGGCCTTCAAGTCTCGTAACCGCTTAGATGTGAATAAAGACTAAAAGAATACAGAACTCTGCCAGCCAGTGAGCAGAGCTTCATTGTATCCTTGCTGCGTCATTAGAATTTTATGACTTGCTGGCCAGTTGCTTCCTTGGCTTTTCACTTTATTACTATAATTTCCTGTGATAGTATAATTTCCTGTTTTCTCCCTTACTGTCCTTTTACCTTGCTTAACCACATAGTGTTGCTGGAGCATGAAGTTTTAAGGCAAGTACTCTGAGGAGACTTTAAGCCCTTTGTGACTGACTGATTAGCTCTCCTAATAGGACATGTCCTCTGATACACTTGAGGAAATTTATGGTA